GACAAATTCTCAGCTAGGTTAGTTTGGTTTTGCCCAAGAAGGGTTGTAAGTCTTCTAGAAGGCTCAGATAACATATGTAGTAGCTGGCCATGAAGCTCTGTTAATGATGGCAACTTAGAATAATCCACCACAGACTTTCTTGACCAAAGCTGATTATCAATTTTACCCCCTAATAACTCCACTTTAGGCTGTTTCTTCACTGCTGACAGCAATGGCTTCACCTTAGCTTCTTTGGAGTAAGTGACAAATGTAGATGCCAAAAATAATGGAGTTATTTCACAGTACTTTGTATTTTCTAAAGCTTTGCATGAAACTCTGTTGGGGAACATCTTGACCGTTATTTCATCTTTACCGAGATTGAAGCGTAATTCTTCCCATTCTTGAGTATTCAAATCACTGAAGTGACATACAACAACCATGTTATTGGAATCAAACACTTCCCTGACTTGATCAGCTATCATGAGCTTTCTCGGATTTGGCTAAAGAGAAAAAAAATGTGGGCTTTTAGAAGTGTTCTAGGTAAGAAAAAGCTTCCTATTGTTCTGTTGGACTGAAGAGCAGCAGAGAAATGTAAGTGATAATGGGCTGAAGATGGCATCAATAGTAAAAGGACACAGTTGAACAAGATGTAAAGTGTATAAAGCTAAAGTTTATATAATGCATCGCTTGCATCAAACAGGTTCAAATGAAAACTACACAGAATGGAACCCCATTAGAGTGTGACTACCTGAACCAGGCCACTTGGAAGAAGACTGTCCAATCACAACAATTTCTGAAAACAAAAGATTCTCAAGTTTTTTTTGCAAACGCACCAAAAACATTCATAAATTTGACAGCTGTTTCCCAAGAGGTCTGATAAATTCAAAGAGTTTTAAAGTTTTCAACGGATGCGTAGTTTAATGCGTAGTTTTGCAAAAAACTTGAGAGTCTTCTGTTTTCAGAAATCGTTGTAAGAGAATAAGTAAGCATCAAAGAATGAAAAAGAAAAGCATGTATTTCTTATTAAAAAGGTTCTTTATTACTATAGATTTAGAAAAGCATAAAAGTAGAACTTCCTTAAAATACATGCACCAACCATTCACCTGAAACAAAAAATAATCTTTAAACCACAGCAAAGAATTTCCTACCATTTCTTCCAATGCAATAAAAATCAGAAGCTTGAGCCCATGATTCAACAAAATATAAAATGGGCAATAAAAAACATGGAATGGACCTGGTCTCTTAACACCATCAAGTGCTACTGCTTAGCTTATGTTATACAGTATAGGTCAAAATTTAATTCATGTCAAAATTAATTTATTTTTTCAACGTAGATTGATTCTCAATTTCCTTTGAGAAAAGGAAAATATTATTATTATTCATGAAGGACNGTATAAAGCTAAAGTTTATATAATGCATCGCTTGCATCAAACAGGTTCAAATGAAAACTACACAGAATGGAACCCCATTAGAGTGTGACTACCTGAACCAGGCCACTTGGAAGAAGACTGTCCAATCACAACAATTTCTGAAAACAAAAGATTCTCAAGTTTTTTTTGCAAACGCACCAAAAACATTCATAAATTTGACAGCTGTTTCCCAAGAGGTCTGATAAATTCAAAGAGTTTTAAAGTTTTCAACGGATGCGTAGTTTAATGCGTAGTTTTGCAAAAAACTTGAGAGTCTTCTGTTTTCAGAAATCGTTGTAAGAGAATAAGTAAGCATCAAAGAATGAAAAAGAAAAGCATGTATTTCTTATTAAAAAGGTTCTTTATTACTATAGATTTAGAAAAGCATAAAAGTAGAACTTCCTTAAAATACATGCACCAACCATTCACCTGAAACAAAAAATAATCTTTAAACCACAGCAAAGAATTTCCTACCATTTCTTCCAATGCAATAAAAATCAGAAGCTTGAGCCCATGATTCAACAAAATATAAAATGGGCAATAAAAAACATGGAATGGACCTGGTCTCTTAACACCATCAAGTGCTACTGCTTAGCTTATGTTATACAGTATAGGTCAAAATTTAATTCATGTCAAAATTAATTTATTTTTTCAACGTAGATTGATTCTCAATTTCCTTTGAGAAAAGGAAAATATTATTATTATTCATGAAGGACTAAAAGACAAAGAAAATTGAGAATCAATTGAAATTTAATAACCTGCAATCAATTTTAACCTTTTAATCTTTTTATCCCAGGTAATTTTTATTTTTCTTTGTTTCAACTTCATTAGCATACAATAATTACCTGGGATAAAAAATTAACTACAACACATACACTCCCACTTTGACAGCTATTAAGTGACTTGGCTATTGATGGTGTATTCAGTGGCATACATTGCATTATAAAAAGTATTCAGCATATCGTCCTCCTCTTTATGTAGGTAAGTCTGACATTTCACATTGGTTTACATGTGGTGGTAAACATTGATGGGCTAAATAGTCACATGATAACTGGAATTTCTTACCCATGGTGACCGTCAACATGTGCCTTTGGCATGCAGAGCTTTGCTAGTAAGGTTCTGCCCCATAAACAGATTAAATAATTTATTGTAAGTGGAGTACAGTGAAGGACATGAGGTACGACATAAAGATTTTCACACATTGTACTTAACCCTTTAAGTCCCAATAGTGATCAACATCAATTTTCTCCTAACGACATCCAAACATTGTCAAGAGATAAGGTTAGGAGAATTAATAAAATGATCACCAAAGAGAAAATGCCTTGATCCTTTATCAAATTCTCTCAACTAATTCTTTAAGAACATGTATAGAGACCAGTTTCGAGAATTTGTATGTGAATCTTGGCACTTAAAGGGTTCAGATAGCCCAAGCCCTAGCCTGAGAAAACAGCCAACATTTTATGGTGACACCACATTGCGAAGCAGCAGCTGTTATCTCAGGCTACCCAAGACCGCGGATGAAGAAAATTTTCACAATGATGAGCTAACCTAAAAATGCAGGGTCACTATTGTCTTATTTTCATACCACTTGATAACAAAAGCATCTATTCCCCACTCCAGAAACTATAAAGGGGAATGGGTACAAGCTTTTGGTGCAAAGATTTCTGGGATCATTTGGATGGTCAAGCATTAGCTATGATTGGTTGATGGTATCCAAGGCAACCATTAATCCATCATAAGTAATCCTTGTCCACCCAAAACTTACCCATTCCCCTGATTTGTGGAGGTTTTTTTTGTGGAGTGTGTGGACTCACTCAGTCCACAATCATTTGCGGAGTGAGGAATTAGGGCTTGTTTTTTAAGGCCTTCTAAAATGAAAAAGATAGTATCATTATTCCCAGTTTTGTGTCCGCTGGACTTATTCATACTTAAGCTTTATACCCTGAGAGTCTCAGACTATAATTATGACTGGTATGTGTTTCAGTGACCCAGATTGTGAACCTTTCTTGTGCACTCACTTGCTGGACCTTTACCGGACAGAAAGATATCCACATATGCCAACTTTCCCAGATTATCCGGAAGTCTCTCAGATATGGCATTGATCTCCCGCTCTTCCATGCAGGTCACCAAATCTCCCAGGTAAAATGGACTTTAGAGCTTTTCTGCACTTTAGTTTGCAATTTAGGCCATTTTTTCTCAAAATTCAAACTTTTTTTTATTCATTGTACAGTTTCTGGGACATTTTTGCACATATCCACTGAGAAAGATTATGTCTTCCTTTATATAATGACGAAAGCAAATTTTGATAGCATGTACTTCATGTAAGACTTCATATAATGTCCTAGGCCATGGCAGCTGGGTCAATTTGTAGATAGAGAGTAGAGAATAGAGAGTCTCCAGATTTTAGATCACTGGAGGTTGGCATCTCTGAAAAAGCATCTTAGTGCTGTCCACTCTCCCGGATAATCCGAGAGACTCCAGATTTTGGACCGTATCTCCCAGTCTCCAGATTAGAGTCTGAGATCTCCCTGATAATCGCCCATGTTGCTATTTCTTGTAGACTCGACTTTCTGACCATAAAATTTCAAATATTATTCGTTGTTTAAGCTACTGTTAACGAGGAACATTTCCCCATGTTATGCCACTGTAATTTAAGCAATAATGTGGCTAAATATGAACTGTTTATGTGCTATGTATGTCAATCGGAATCAACAAGCATTTTTGGCACGAATGACGTCATTTGCCGTGCGAAATGATGTCATCTATCATTTCTTCCCAATCAATTAATCAATATTTGAGACCTGGTGTCTCCTTGGAGTCCTCAAGATTTGGGCTTTGGTAAAGGGCTTACAACCGTACTCCGTAAAAAAAAGTTTTGAAAATCATTAAGAGCGAGATTTCTCAATGAAAAATACATACCATAAAAAGGAAAAACCAATTTTGGTCAGAACACGTGCGAAGTGCAAATTTGTATGGAGAACTTTAGACCTACCTTCACTTCTCTCCTCTTATTTCTTCCGGCCTTACAGCTCCTAGCCATCTTGGAGATTTTTCGAGTTAATTCTACCCTAGCAGTGGAGACTAAAAATGGTAAAGCTAGGAAGTTAGTTTTAGCGGTTCGAATACAAGCGAGCGCCATCTTGGAAGTCTTTGTAGACAACGCCGAGAGCCTGGGCAAAAATAAGGCACCAGTCCTTTTCATTCATTACCACAAAATGGCGGAGTTCAGAGACTCATTCGTTTGGCGTTGATTTATCATTATTTTTCTTGTAAAACAGGCCGCGATTTGTGGAAAGTTTAGTGTTTTTCGATAAAGGAGACACTCAGGTCATTAGAAATGAGCTCTTTATTGTTAAATCGGATTGATTTGTAACGTTTTTTGATCTCGAAAAACAAGTTTTTTTGTACGTGTATTGGTATAGTTTGCTTAAGTACATCGTGGATAACAGTCTTAAGCGCGTTTGTTATGGATCTGAAAACGGTGAAGGAAGTTTTAGAGGTGAGTAATGACTTACAAGATGTTCAGAGTGTAAAAATGCAACCTTTTGTCTTTTCTTAATTCTCCTTTTTTTGTGGTTTTGCATCTGTAGTCATGCTGTAAATCAGAATCACCAACTAACATTCAGAAGTTGAAAAATGACAAAAACCTGATAAATGGAATAATTCAGAACTTACCTGAGCACTACGCACACCAGGTAAGGGGGAGACTCTCCACTTTTACTCTTTAATGTTATGTGTAGTAGTAGTGTTTATCGATTAACAGCTTTTAATTATTACAATTATTACACTGTTTTGAAACGTTTATTTATTTTGTTTCTCTCTCTGCTTTCTTTACTCCCTCTTTGGAAGGTGTGATTCTGACAGGCTCTTTTCCGAAGGGAGAAGCTAAGCAGGATACCAACAGGGCCTTCAGGATTCCTATACCCTAAAATAATAGGGATCATTTTACGTTTCTGTGAAACTGCCCACCTACCCCTCCCCTAAGCCAACATTTTGCTCTGAGTAAGAACTAAGTGTTAATGTTGGTTTAGGGGAGGGGTAGGTGGGCAGTTTCCCAGAAACGTAAAATGGTCCAATAATAGTACAGAGGAATGACACTGAGATTCCAACACCTTCCACATGATGAAATTCCAATGACCCCTTTGGGAAAAATATAGTTTTGGAGGAATATTCTGCATTTACTCTCCATCATACAGTGCAGGACATAATTAAATACAGGTTCAATTTTTTATCCTAGGTTGATTGTCAGTAACCCTAATTATTCATAATTGTGAATAATATTATTATAGCTTGAAGAGAAAAGAAACTGAGAATTACCACACCTAGTTAAAAATATGACTTGAATTTAATTTTGACCTTCAATTTATGTTTAATAATTTTCTCTGACCTTAAGGGCAGACAGTTACTAATCTAAGCTCTTTGTATGTGACTTTATTTACAGTTAAGTGATCCAGTCTTTAAGAGTCTCTTTGAGTTGTTTCGACAAAGTGGAAAAGGAGAACAGCTGTTTGTTCTTCAGTTTGTTCCTGTGTTAATATGGACGTATTTGTCAGCTTCAACAAGGAGAGATGAAAAGGTGTGGCTTCTATACACCTATTACTGCTAGAATGATTCTATCTAGCTCTCTTCATTCACTGTATACATGTTAAACGTCATGTAGCACCAAAACATAATTAATGAAAAGAAAGGATATAATGCAACACATGTCAAAAGTTCTCATTGTAAAATAATTATTAGCCAATCAGATCAGTCCATTGAACAGTATAAATTATCATAATTCCAACAATATCAGGGTCAGGAGTTTTTTTTGTATTAAATTATTTTCACAATTAAACCTGATAAGAGGATAGTAAGAACATTTTTTAACCCTGGTCTCAGAATCAAAATAGTATTAGACTCTCTAATTTGGGCATATAACCTCAAAAGATAAAATGTAGAACTACAATGATCAACAGAACATAATTGACTGGGTGTTTTGGGGGTTTCTAATGGTATGCATGCTCTGGTAGTATTATAAGGCTATCTAGTTATTGTGGTATTATTGTTTACCGGTAATCTGTACATTTTTGTAGTTTTTTGACTTGTGCTTGTTAATATAATTTTAAGGCATATGGCAATCTTGAGGCGCTGTTATTGGCTATCTACAATGAAGTGAGTATTACATACAATTTGAGAATACTTCAGTAAATTAGTAATTAATTGTTTAGCGGGTTCATACCGTACTTCCCAACACCATCATTACATGACTAATCACTTTCATGCTCTTTACTTAGTGTATCAAGTGTTTGGCAAAAAGGAAGTATAAGTATATTTAGATGTGGCTGATGATTATATACAACATACAGTGATATCTAAATTGGGAACCTGTAAAATGTTTTAATCACCAGCATTAACCATTTAAAATGACTGTATTCCATTAGTGCCTTACTGTGTAAAGTTTTTCGTTTTACCTAGCATTTTGTAAAAATATGTGAAAATAGTAACTTAATTAAAGTCCATTTTGTTTAATCTCATTTGCTTAAACAAATTAATGTTGCTAAATGTACATGTTAACTATGATTGACCACTCCCGGTCAATTGGCTTACAATTATTACAACAAATCCTGTTTCTTTTGGATCTGTTCCTGGACAGTGATTAAATAAGTCTTCATAAAGTTCAAAAATAAGACAGGGCAAATAAGGTCAAATGAAAACTATGGACAGAAACTAGCAATAAACTTGTTCCAGAATTAACAAAGAAAAACCTCCTAAATGTGCTCATCTTTTAATTCTGGTGCTTTTATATTCTGATGACAGATGGTGGAAATTGAAGAGCAAAAAACCAAAACATTTAGACTGCCATCTTTGTCAAGACCTTCAATTTACCATGAGGTACATATCAGAATAATGATTTTAAACTGTTTTAGTCAGCCACTCTACAAAGTCATGTATTCTATGAACAGAGGGACCCACAATCCCCTCTCCTTCCCCAGTTCAATGTTGTAGAAAACACAAAGCTTTTTTAACCAAAGCTTAACTTGGTAGTGATGGGTTTAAAGCTAGAAATTTCAGTGCCTCAGGTTTAATTTTTAAGTTGACCAACCTACGTGGGCAGTTCTGAGCTTCAATAAGCACCCTATTTAAGGTCAAGTTTCACTTTTATATTATCATTCTTTGTAAGGTAAAAATAACTATGTGTCTTTAAATTAACACTAGCCTTACCAAGGACTAACAACCTCGTCAACGCTAACGGAGACAGCACTGAGTCGACATGAACAGAGTGAGATGGTTGTAACTTCACCAGGTCCAGGGAGACCACTTAATAAAATAACTGGTATGCACAGGTGAGCAATGTGAATCTACAACCTTTGTAATCCTGATGGAATTGGGAGTGGCCATTATATTATTTTAATGATATTGAATACAATGGCTATTGCCATTATATATGTATATTATAGTCATTGGTAATGGTTATGCTGGTTGCAGTCATTTACATACATGTGTATAATGTTACAGGTCAAAATTGCATTCAGGTTAAACTTTTTTGACCTACGGTAAATTGATTCTCAATTTCCTTTGTATCCTTGTGCATATTATTGATGAATTAGGGCACGGAGACAAAGAAAACTGAGAATCAACCTTTGGTTTAGCCTGAGAAAACAATGGACATTTTGCCACGCCACCAACTGTTTCCCCGTGAAATGACGTCTGAGAAGCGAGTGCAGAAATTCCATAGTGCTTCTGACTGGCTGAAACAAATTTCCCACACGGCACGACCTATCAGAAGCTCTATCCAAATCTGAGTAGTGACATGTCATCAGTCTAGAATTTCTGCACTCGTTTTTCAGACGTCATTTCATGGGGAAACGGTTTGTGGTGTTGCGAAATGTTGGCCCTTTCCTCAGGCTAACTTTGGTTAAAAAATGAATTTTATTTAACCTGAATTTAATTTTGACCTTTGACATGTACCTGCAACAAATGTAATAGTGGTGATGATTGTAGTGGTGTGATGATGATGATGATGATGATGATGATGGCAAAGGTGGTGGTGGTGTGGGTGGAGATGATGATGATGATGATGATGATAATGATGATGGTGGTGGTGGTGGTGATAATGATGATGATGATGATGATGACGATGATGATGACGATGATGATGAAAGCTAGGTTTTGGGACAATATGTCATGTATTTCTCCTTAGCAAACATTGAACTTGTAGTTCTTCTGAAAATTTCCAAGAACTGGGTGATGTACATGTAGTGTTCACTTTCTTTTCTAGGCTGTCTGTGTTAAGTGCCATTTTGTACCAGTACAATGCAAATATAGTTTATATGACTGAAGCTTCTCACCACAGCTTCTGCATTATGGCACTAAGGTAAGGGCTACATTTGTCATTCAATTTTCTGCGATTTGTCAAACAGGATAACATCACTTTTGTGTCACGTTTTATAAACTGCCCTAGACATTCTCCATATCAGGGGTTTCAATAATAATTGAAGTAGCCAGCAGGTTTGAATAGAGTAACCGACTGTATCAAAAGGTGTCTGGGGATGTCATTCCCCGGAGAATTTGGAAATTTTTTATAAGCAATGAAAAAATGATGAAAAGTAAATTACGTACTTTTGCACATTAACAAATCCTGCGTAAACCTTGAAAATTGACTGAAATAGAGCGTTTACATGACTAAAGCACAATGACCAGGGGGCCTTTATGAAAACACATCATAAGTACGTTTTCATTTAGATTTTATGATATATTTTTCGTTTGCAAAGTTATTTAAACTAGTTCCTTCTTTTTTCTTGAAAAAAGTAGCCCACGCATTTTGTCAGCAGTGGTGCTTATTGAAACCCCTGCATATGCAACACTACAGCAGTTCAGCATCATTGCTCGAAAGTAAACAAATTTTATGAAAGAAATATAGCTAACATTTAACTGTTTTTCCTCAAATCGCTCCTTTGTACATGTAGAAATAAAACCAACCAATCAACTGGTCACTCCAGAGCTGTAGCTCAGCTTTTTCATTGCTTGTGTCATACCATCCTCCTCCTGGTTTCTATCTGGAGATTTTCCAATCCAGCCCATGTAGTGCGGCTTGGGAGACAACAAAGGCTACACCACTAAAAATACCCTTATCCTACCCTATGTTAGTGGAATATATTTTGTGTGGCTGTTGTTCTTTGTCCATATAAACCTCAAATTACAAATAACTTGTATGTACATGTACCATGCAGAATTTCTGTTCCCTATCAAGGGGCTCTCTTAGGGTGGTGGGGGGTTTGTTATTCCTAGTATGAATTTCAAATCCGGTCATTTCCACATTTTAAGGAATAGGCCATGTCCCTGTCAGTATTTAACCCATCTTTGTGTCATTTGTCCCCATTTCCTCTAGTCTTATGTCGCTGTTTCAAGGTCATGCCACTTGTCAGAATATAACAGGGCCTCTAACAGGGCCTCTATTAGAAAAGCGTTACCGAATTGTTTGAAATGGGCCATTTTCCATGTGAAATTGTCGATTTTACTAAATTCAGCATGAAGCAGGTTTGCAAACTAAAGAAAAAAGCAATTCTCATGTTGACATTAAGGATTAAGCTGCATTGTATTTTTGCACAATATTATTTTATTACTGTCAGGTCTGTAAGCAGAACGGAAACATTACAACAACAATGATCTTTATTTTGACTCTCTCTTGCCTTATAAGAAATTACAACAATGAATGCTGAGTACTGGCTGCCTGGAATAACCATAAAGGCTAGCAGAGGCAGGCAGCCAGTAAAATCAGACCCCCATCCCCCCAAAGAGCCGACCTTATAAGGTGGCTTGAAAGTTTTACTTAACTTATATGCTTTATTCTTTTTTTGTTCCATTTAGGCTCGCAAAAAGTGGTTTTTATAAACTTTGTCAAATTTCTATACATCTAGTTCTCTTCATTTACTGTACACATGTTAAACGTCATGTAGCACCAAAACAGAATTAATGAAAAGAAAGAATATAAAGCAACACATGTCAAAAGTTCTCATTGTAAAATTAGCCAATCAGATGAGTTCGTTGAACAGCATAAAATAATTATCATAATTCCAACAATATCAAGGTCAGGGGTTTTTTGTGTATTAAATTATTGCCCACAATTAAACCTGATTTATAAGAGGATATTTAGAACATTGTTTTAACCCTGGCCTCAGAATCAAAATAGTATTAGACTGTCAAATTTGGGCATAAAACCTCAAAAGGTAAAATTTAGAAGTACAATGATCAACAGAGCATAATCGACTGGGTGTTATTGGGGTTTCTAATGGTATGCATGCTCTGGTAGTATTATAAGGCTATCTAGTTATTGTGGTATTGTTGTTTAATCTGTATTTTTTGTAGTTTTTGTGACTTGTGCTTGTTAATATAATTACTTTAAGGCCTATGGCAATCTTGAGGCGCTGTTATTGGCTATCTACAATGAAGTGAGTATTACATACAATTTGAGAATGCTTCATTAAATTAGTAATTAATTGTTCAGCCGGTTCATACCATACGTCCCAACACCAACATTACATCACTAATCACTTTCATGCTCTTTACACTAAGTCTTAGTGTATCAAGTGTTTGGCAAAAAGGAAGCATAAGTATATTTAGATGTGGCTGATGATCACAACATACAGTGATGTCTAAATTGGGAACCTGTAAAATGTTTTAATCACCAGCATTAACCATTTAAAATGACTGTATTCAATGAGTGCCTGACTGTGTAAAGTTTTTCATTTTACCTAGCATTCGTAAAATATGTGAAAATAGTAACTTAATTAAAGTCCATTTTGTTTAATCTCATTTGCTTAAACACAATAATTAATGTTGCTAAATGTACATGTTAACTATATTGACCACTCCAGAAAATACCATAAAATACCATAATGCTCTTTGTTTGTCACCCCCAAAATTTTACATAAGCATTGTTTTCAGTTTCTCTTGGGAGTTAAAATGGCCCCAAGAGAAACTGAAAACAATGCGTATGCAAAATTTTGGGGTGACAAGCAAAGAACATTATGGTATGTGATGGTATTTTCTGGAGTAGTCAATTAGCTTTGTTGGTTACAATTATAACAAATTCTGTTTCTTTTGGATCTGTTCCTCGACGGTAATTAAATAAGTCTTGCGTAAAGTTCAAAAATAAAACAGGGCAAATAAGGTGAAATGAAAACTATGGACAGAAACTAGCTATAAACTTGTTCCAGAATTTATAAAGAAAAACCTCCTAAATGTGCTCATCTTTTAATTAAAGTGTGGTGCTTTTATATTCTGATGACAGATGGTGGAAATTGAAGAGCAAAAAACCAAAACATTTAGACTGCCATCTTTGTCAAGACCTTCAATTTACCATGAGGTACATATCAGAATATTTTAAACTGTTTTAGTCAGCCACTTTACAAAGTCATAATACTCTATGAACGGAAGGACCCACAATCCCCTCTCCTTCCCCAGGTCGATGTTGTAGAAAACACAATGCTTTTTAAACCAAAGCCTAACTTGGTAGTGATGGGTTTAAAGCAAGAAATTTCAGTGCCTCAGGTTTAATTTTTAAGTTAACCAACCTACGTGGGCAGTTCTGAGCTTTAATAAGCACCCTATTTAAGGTGCAGTTTCACTTTTATATTATCATTCTTTGTAAGGTGAAAATAACTATGCTGTTGTTAAATTAATACTAGCCTTACCAAGGACTAACAACCTCGTCAACGCTAACAGAGACAGCACTGAGTCGACATGAACAGAGTGAGATGGTTGTAACTTCACCAGGTCCAGGGAGACCACTGAATAAAATAACTGGTATGCACAGGTGAGTAACCTTTATAATCGTAATGGAAATGGGAGTGGCCATTACATTATTTTAATGATACTGAGTACAATGGCTACTCCCATTATAATAGTCACTGGTAATGTTCATGCCGGTTGTAGTCATGTACATGCATGTGTATAAGTTACAGGACAAAATTACATTCTGGTTAAGCTTTTTTAACGTACGATAGGCTGATTCTCAATTTCCTTTGTCTACTAGCGTTTATTCATGAATTACTTAGGGCTAGGAAACAAAGAAAAATGAGAACTAAACCTTTGGTTAAAAAAATGAATCTTAATGTGAATTTAATTTTGACCTTAAACATGTACCTGCTACAAAGGTAATGGTGGTGATGATTAATTAATAGATATGATACATTGTTATTATGTACATGTAATTATGATGATGAAGATCGTGGTGGTGATAGTGGTGATACAGTGATGATGATGATGATGATGTTTATGATGTTTATGATGTGATGGTGATGATGATGATGACAGAGGTGGTGGTGGTAGTGATAATGATGATGATGATGATGATGATGATGACGATGATGATGACAGCTAAGTTTTGACAATGTCATGTATTTCTACTTAGCAAACATTGAACCTGTAGTTCTTTTGAAAACTGTCAAAAACTGTGTGGTGTAGTCTTCACTTTCTTTTTTTAGGTTATCTGTGTTAAGTGCTATTTTATACCAGTACAATGCAAATATAGTGTATATGACTGAGGCGTCTCACCACAGCTTCTGCATTATGGCACTAAGGTAAGGGCCACATTTCTCATACAATTTTCTGTGATTTGTCAAACAGGATAACATTACTTTTGTTTCATGTTTTTATAAACTAGCCAGGTTTTCCATATGGAACACAAGAACACGTTAGCATTATTGCTTGAAAGTAAACAAAAATGTGAAAGAAATATAGCAAACATTTAACTATTCTTCCTCAAATCAGGCCTCATTTATTCATGTAGGAATAAAACCAATACCTGTACATGTAGCTCAGCTTTTGTATTACTTGTGTCATGCCATCCTCCTCCTTGTCTTTATCTAGAGATTTTCCAATCCAGCCCATGTAGTGCTTGGCAGACAACAAAGGCTACACCACTAAAAATACCCTTATCCTACCCTATGCTAGTGGAATATATTGTGTGTGGCTGTTTTTCTTTGTCCATATGAACCTCAAGTTACTAATAACTTATATGTACATGTACCATGCAGAATTTCTGTTCCGTATCAAGAGGCTCTCTTAGGGTAGTGGGGGGTTTGTTGTCCCTAGTATGGTTGTTTCCATGTTTTAAGGAGTAGGCCATGTCCCTGTCAGTATTTAACCCATCTTTATGTCATTTGTACCCATTTCCTCTAGTCTTATGTCTCTGTTTCAAGGTCATGCCACTTGTCAGAATATAACAGGGCCTTTATTAACAGGGTCTCTAACAGGGCCTCTATTAAAAAACCGTTACCAAATTGTTTGAAATGGGCCATTTTCCATGTGAAATTGCCGAATTTACTAAATTCAGCATGAAGCAGATTTGCAAACCAAAGAAAAAAGCAATTCTCATGTTGACATTAAGGATTATTAAAATAAGCTGCATTGTATTTTTGCACAATACTTATTACTGTCAGGTCTGTAAGCAGAACAGAAACATCACAACAACAATGATCTTTATTTTGACTCTCTCTTGCCTTATAAGAAATTACAACAATGAATGCTCAGTACTGGCTGCCTGGAATAACCATAAAGGCTAGCAGAGCCAGGCAGCCAGTAAAATCAGACCCCCATCCCCCCAAAGAGCCGTCCTTATTTAAGGTGGCTTGAAAGGTTTACTTAACTTATATGCTTTATTCTTTTTTTGTTCCATTTAGGCTCGCAAAAAGTGGTTTTTATAAACTTTGTCAAAGATGTAAAGAAGAATCTGAGTCCTATTTTTCAACAGAGGAGGTAACAAAGCTGGTCAATCACCCAAGAATCACTCTTAGCACAGAGCTGATTCAAGAGATTACACATGGGCTGTATTTCCTAATGTAAGTTGCAATTTCCAGACCTTATGTATCATTTAATGTGCCTGTAAAGCTATGCTTATCGGTATAAGAATCTTCTCTGGTGTCATTTGATCCCAGGTAACCAGGTGTCAACATTGTAATTAAAGCATTATGATCCCATAATTTGCGGTGTAAATTATCAAAAAAGTGTATTCATTGTATTGTATATTATGGCCCAAGTTGATTTCCAGTTACAATATGTAACTTCTCATACAAATCAAATGTCAATAAACAACAAACAACCAGATGATTCATAAATCATGAATATTATTTGTGTACAAACAGTCTTCTGTATAATTTGTGTATGTGTTTAATACAGGTACAATGGTCAAAGGGTTATTGCAACTAAGGCTCTAGAAGATCTCCATTGGCGTGCAGCTCACAGTCTGTTGGCTCCAGCCCACATGGTAAGAGAAGGTGTTCTTAGGAAGGGTCCATCTGCAGTGTCGTGTTCTTTTTAATGTGAGGTCTCAGAGGTCTTAAAAAGTTGACAGAAATTCCTATTTTTTATCTTATGATAAAATAATTATTACTTGTGAAGGTTAAAAGGGTAAACGTGTTTGTCTCGTTTACCACTCTCCACTCCATCATTGATCCCTTTTATAGGTATTTAAAACTTCTAAAGCTTCAAAGAAATATGTCCAGTATTGAACTCAGCCACGAAATAAGCAAAATTGCTAGTTTTGTAAGCCCATCATGAAAACTTGTTAATTGTGTTAATTTTCCATCTGAGTTCAATCCTGGATGAAGAATGTTAATTTTGTAAATTTTGTAAATTTTCTATTTTTGCAAGGCCATCTCGAAAAATTGTTTTTTTTGTAAATTTTTCATCCGAGTGCAATCCTGGACATAAGTGGTTTCATGGGAAAGAAAGAAGTGTAAACAAGGATTTAAAGTCACACCTGGTAATCAAACTCGGAGCTCTTGCAGAGAAGGCCTGCCACTAACTAGCTAACTGTACCAATCCGTAGCCCCTTTTTCAGGGAGAAAATGCAGCCTTTGCATACCACNGTCTTTTGGCTCCAGCCCACATGGTAAGAGAAGGTGTTCTTAGGAAGGGTCCATCTGCAGTGTCGTGTTCTTTTTAATGTGAGGTCTCAGAGGTCTTAAAAAGTTGACAGAAATTCCTATTTTTTATCTTATGATAAAATAATTATTACTTCTGAAGGTTAAAAGGGTAAACGTGTTTGTCTCGTTTACCACTCTCCACTCCATCATTGATCCCTTTTATAGGTATTTAAAACTTCTAAAGCTTCAAAGAAATATGTCCAGTATTGAACTCAGCCACGAAATAAACAAAATTGCTAGTTTTGTAAGCCCATCATGAAAACTTGTTAATTGTGTTAATTTTCCATCTGAGTTCAATCCTGGATGAAGAATGTTAATTTTGTAAATTTCGTAAATTTTCTATTTTTGCAAGGCCATCTCGAAAAATTGTTTTTTTTGTAAATTTTTCATCCGAGTGCAATCCTGGACATAAGTGGTTTCATGGGAAAGAAAGAAGTGTAAACAAGGATTTAAAGTCACACCTGGTAATCAAACTCGGAGCTCTTGCAGAGAAGGCCTGCCACTAACTAGCTAACTGTACCAATCCGTAGCCCCTTTTTCAGGGAGAAAATGCAGCCTTTGCATACCACAACATAAACTGCTAAAAATCCCTTTTAAATCAAACTTGGGCATGCTCTGCAAGATCGTTGAGGAGGATAATGCTAGACGAGTCATTTGTTCAGTCCCTATATTTTGCCCTATTCATCCGCTCGATTTCAAGCCTATGTGACAATCCCAAAGGGCTTGCTGGTGGTCTAATATAATTATTATATTGTTTATAGTGAACTTACTCTTTTTAATGACTAATGGCTATGATACAAGACATTATAATGAACCGCTATTCACAGAAAACAAACGTGGTCAAATACGTAGGAAAGTGTCCAGAAAAAGATCAATGTTGTCAGGCGATGGGAGAAAGCTGTATTCGGAGGCTAAGTAATTTTTGCCCTTTTTGGGTTTGAAAGAGCAACCTTTCACTGGTAAGACACTAGAACAAATTCTGCATATTAAGTTTTTTTTTGTTTTTGTTCTTTTTTTTAGTTGACCAGTGCCATCAAACATTCATTAGAGGAAACAGGAGGTCTCCCTAGGGATGGTCCCTTGGGACTGGAGATATACCTATCAGATACACAGGAAAACCAAGCTAATAGTGGTAAGGCAGTGCCATCAGTAGGTCTCCCCAGCATGGATGCACCAGATTTATACTTTTCAGATGAAGAGTCTTATGTCTCCTGTTTGGAGAATGTTGTTGATGATGATAATGATAATGATAACGGTGATTATGATTATTATGATGATGATGCTGGTGGTGTGTTTACTGACACAGCTGGTTCTCTTGATGGCAAAACTAAAAAATACCTAACAACGTGGTTATAATGATAAACTCAGAGAAGTGTGCTCACTATGATTCGTGAAGTAATGCTTTAAAAACTTTCACTGTAAAATCGGAATTAGAATCAATGTTAACTTTCCAGAATTAGCCTTAAACAAGTTTGCCTGAGGAATTAGAAGAAGGAAAGTTATTTGTATTTGTGACAGCTTAGGCCCTGTTTATATGGAAAAAAGTTGTCCCGGTAAAAAGGAAATGTGGGAAAAAGTGGCTCGTCCTCGGTAGCTTGCGTTCTCGAGTGACCTTTTTGCCTTGAACAAGTTTTCTCCATATGAACGGGACCTTAGTAAAACAGTGTCGCAAACAGTCGCAGTTTACTAAAGCTGGATCGCATGCAATGTGCCCCAATAATTTTTTCAACCTCTCACATTTGTTCCTTTTTGAGTCACTCATGATCACAAACAAAATGCAAGACAAGAATTTCTTTCTGTCTTGAGTTTCAATAATTGTTGAAACAACTAAGAAAGAATGATATGGAAATAGCTGCTGCAAGAAAGAACACAACTGATTGGGTAGGCAAGAAAAGGAAAACCCGGCGGGCTTATTTCTTCACCCTGTCCCTTTCAAAGGCCTGCCGCAAAGGCTTAAAAAAGGGTATACACTCATGCACCATGGAACACTTTACTTGTGAGAGCCCAGTTGTTCAAACACAGGATACTGCTGGCCCCGGTTGTGCATATGCTGGATAGTACTAGCCAGCAGATAAGTATCAGAGAAACCAACTGCGGCATCCGGTGGATAGAGATAACTGACTTATCCAGTAGATAGCGCTATCTACCTTTGGAACCACTGTATCCTGCAAAAACAGCCGTCTTTCCTTGCTCCTCCCCAATTAGGACGTTTCGCCAGGAGAGACTTCTGCGCCTCAGCGACTGAAATTCCATACTGATGACGTAAGTTCATGTTTGCATAATTAATCCGGTAGCCCTGGGTTGCAAATATAAATTTGTTCTATTTTGTTTCTCCTGATCGATTTTGGTAAAGTTTTGTGTTCCTCGAACAAGCTCCAGCAAAACTCAAATGCTGCTTCAAAAGAAGAATATGTTCTACGAATAGTGACTGTTTTGTGAGACACGTCGACCAATCAGGGCTCCCGACCAGATTCCGGACAGAATTAACGCCATCAGAATGGATTTCTATCGCCTATGCGCAGACGTCTCTCCTGGCGAAATGTCCCAAGCGGCGAGGAGTGAGGAGAGACGGCTGTTTTTGCCGGAGAGTGCAATTGATGCCAGGTGGAGAGTGCTGTCCAGTGGATAATCGTTAAGAGAAACCAGTTGCATTATTCACTGGATAGAGCCTTATTCTGTATAAATACTAACCACCCTTTGAACAACTGGGGCCAAGTTGACTGGCATTAACTGGAGAGGGACGCCCAGGTTCTTGCTCATTGGGATGGGAGGAAATACTGTGAAATCTCGATTTAACGAACCTCTATATAACGAAGTCCTCGGTATAAAGAACTATTTTCTTTACTTCAGTAATAGCAGAATATGTGAAAAAGAACCACGACATAACGAAACCTCTTTATTGCGATCACAATTTGCTAGTCCCTTGGCGCTTCATTATATCGAGGTTCCACTGTGTGGTACTGTAATACCTGGTAGCACATCAGGCCAGAGAATAATGCGATCAATGTTTGCGACGCTGTCACATATTTATTAATCCCAACGTAGTAATGAAACTGTCCAGTGATATTAGTAAACTCCAGCGAAACTGAGATACTAAAATAAATAATATAACATAATCATATAGTCCATATACAGTAATATCATAAAAACCCTTCAAAAAATACAGATGTAATCCTTACAATATCAAGTATTAAAGTACGTAATGCTTTTGTTTTGTGTACAAAGAAATCTATCAACCGCTTAAAATAACAAGTATTAAAACTGTTATATTAAACCAAAATAATTTAAAATGTGACTGCATAAGCTGATATATCTATCTTTGTTAGTTTGCGTGTGATTAGCCTGTTTGTAAATTTCGCGTTAAAAAATGTAATCTGATATCGTATATATAATTTATAATTGAGTGCCTTTTTTATTTTATGCGGTACTAAATAAAATAAAAATAATGTAATAATCTACCTGTGTGTCGAGTAAAAAAAATCTTACCGTTTTTGTAGATAAGGCTTTTACCCTAATAAACCGTGGCTTCCGGTCGGAATTGATAAGGATTCCGATAAGCTGCTCAGGCCTGTTGGTAGCCAGAGTAGAGGGAATAAGTAGGGAGCACTTAACAAGAAAAAGGAAAAGACAAGAGTTCATTAAGATGCCCCCTAGCGTGATAATCAGGCGTTTCTGGGGGAGGGGGTGGGGTGGTGTGGGGAGAAGAAGAGAAAAGCGATAGCGGGAGACAGCGGAGAGAGAGACACCTTTCTCCTTTCTCTCTTTCCTCCTCCCCCCTCTAAAATCTCCTCTACCCTGGTCAATAAGGAATGCCCGATACTCAGGCTAGAGTTTCCCCCAGAGATTACCCCCCTTTGCGCGCCCTTACTCTTCCCCTTTTAACGCCTGTCACGCAGGTTAGAAGATCCCCTGCTTTACCTTCCGCCCGTTTTTCCCCTCCTCTTCGCTGCTTTCTGTCTGCGTCTGTCAACTAAGCTTCATGGAGTAGCCTGTCTAACAAGCGTTATTTTTTCACGTTTTTTAGGCGATTGTTACTTCGCGCTTTTCTGCGGTCGCTTGAAAAGTACGAAAAGACAACGCCTGTTTTGCAGGCACTATATCTGAGACAGGCTATTTCGAAGGTCTCGTGTCCTTGGTAAAATGGGGCGATTTGGGTGCATGGTGCAAAATGTGGAGAGCGCAGCGCGGTGAACCCGTTCGCTGCGCGTTGAAATTTTCCATAATAAAACATAAAAGAAAAGTAGAATTAAGGAAATGATCTTGAAATACTAGCAAAAGAGGCCTTGGTAGGTTAGCAAATTCTCCTCATTAGTAACACGGGTATATATGGAGAAAAAAAGTGGAGAATGTATGTTAATGGTAGCGGTTTTTAAAGGTTAAGCTGTGGTAACAACGGGAATGACTTCCACACTGTTTTCATGTAGCGTGAAAGAGTCTTTGCCGTTACCTTCGTTTCCCTCGTACTGCTTTTCCGAGGAGAAGTTAGAGTTTGGACAAAATTAGTTGATGGTGAAAGGATAGTTGCGACGTTGCGCGGATCCAAAGCGAGATTCTCCTCCCTTGTTAGTATACACGGAGTGGCCTATTTTGTTCTCTCTTTTTTGTAGCTAACACCGGAAAAATCCTGGCGTTGTCGACTAGTGGATTGAAAAGGTCTAGTCACGTTTCCATGGAATACCCGATCGTGGACACAGAGGAGGTCGAAATTGAAGTTGAAACAAGAAAATGGAGTTCCTCTTCTGACCAGGCTGCGAATGAAGCGAGAAAGTCGCACAAGAAATCTCACAGCCTCGGTTACTTCAAGCGTCCAGGGTTTTTGTCAACAAAAGATGTGTACCTTGAACTCGGATAAGGTCCTTGCTCGCTTTCAAGCAGGCTGAATGGGGCTGGAACGAGCAGCCTTTAGTTACAAGGAAGCCTATTGTGGCTACCACACCTCAATAATCGTTGGTCACAATCACGGGAAGGAGTGTTGGATCATAGATTTTAAAGCTCCTTTAACTTTGTGTCGACTTACTGCAACCTTGTTCGTGAAGGAGGTCCGTTGATCGCGGTGTTAGCAAACTTAAGGAGCATCTTCGTAGTAACGATAATTTTCATAATTATAAAATCAAAATTAGCTGGAGTAAACCGACAGAGCCGAATAATACTTTTTAGCTTGTATGTTTTGTGTTCCCATTTCAGAGCACGTGATGGTACCCCAGAGAACTGTTTCTTTCAAATGTCCTCCTATGCATGTGCAAATGTATGCATAAGTTGTAATAGACCAAAGAAAATTCCCTGGAGAATATCACGTGGTCTAAATTGGGAAAACAAAACACACAAGCTCAAAAGGTCTATTACTTCTATTTTAATGGGCAAAAGTTGTATTTATATTTCCTTAAATAAAGATAACGTAATTATTGAACCTTTTATAAATACGAAGTTTTCTGCTTGCTTTATTTTCTCTCGTTTACTGGTATAACTATCTGTCCATTTCTCAAAATATTAAGCGTTTGCATTGAAAACGCTTCGCACCCAACTATAATGATTATGCCGGTAATTGGCGCCAACGACAATACTTGTTTCAGTTTTCTGCTACTTAGGGATTTTTTTAAGTGAACCTGCGAGTAGTTTAGTAAATACAGCGTATTGGTAAAATCCTAAGCTTCCAACAGTGAAAGTAGCAACCTGTTTGCTTAGCATTTGCAAATTTCTCTGGTTTGACAGCGATAAAATGGGACTGTACATGTTTTGGGGAACATATTTTGAGCCAGTTTCCCGCGCAACTTTGTAACTTGTCCTTGTCGTGTAACGGTCAACTAAGTTATAAAGGGATTTCGCGACGGCCTTGGTAAAGATATGCAGCGAGGCTGGAGCTTGATGATGTGGTCACCGCCACAAGGGGAGGAGCGAAAAGCGCTTCCTACAGGCAGTCCTTTGTCGCTTTTTAAAAAATTTGACGTCTTCCATACATTTTCTGTAATTTTTGTGTTGTCGGATTACAGAAAATGTACGGAGGAACTCAGGTTTTCTAAAAAGCAACATAGGACTGCGCAGACTGCACTCCAGATTTAGTGTGCAGTTTCTTTAAGCTCATTAGTTACATTTTTCAAAGGGAAATATACTCAATTAGCAAGAATAAGATGACTTTGTATTCTCATACAAACTTTTGATTTTTCCACCTTCTTGTCCTGATTACCCAGCATGCCCTCGCAACCGTAAAGGGGTCTAGACCTGTTGGTCCTCTAATACACCAACTTGGGGTCTCGGGGCTACGAAGTTGACTACGCACGCTCCCGATTTTGGCATGACTGTTTGTTGTTCAGTTTAAGCTGAGAAATGACTTGATTAATAGACCATCTACATCACCCTAGCCTGTCAGCTCTGACCCGTGTCAAAGGACAACTAAAAACCAATAGATACGAAAACATTTTAAATCAAACTCTTTGTTGGAATGGTTTATTCAGACATTCTATTAAATTATGCATTGCTGGTTTGCACATGACGCCACGGCGGCCATATTGGTGGACAAGAACAAAAGCATCTTTATCCTTTGGGAACTAAACGCCATTTTCATGTAAATTCTTCGAGAAAAAATTCTAGTGTATTGACCACCAACATGGCCGCCTTGTCACGTGGTTGCAAACAGAATATTTTTCACTATGAGGTCAGGAGCTATGCAACCCCACAGGGCCTTTTTTTTGTACATCAACATGGCCGTCGTGACGTCACATGAAAACGATCTCTGGAAGCAAGACCTTCGGTACCAGTGTGGTATATCTTATCATTATTAGGGGTTATTTTCAAGATGTTTTTACTGGTAGAGACTTGAAAAGCCCGCCTTAAAACATCTTTTTCCGATTTTGAATACTTAGGCCTCCATTTAAAGACTCTCCATTCTCCTTCAAGTAAAGTGCTCTCAAAGAAGGTAACAGCCTCATCCACAAGCCGGATCGCTGTTCTTCCCGTCCCCAGGGGACGAGGGATGAGGCAGGGAAGGAAACACCCGTCTCCATTCTTGGAAGTAGTGTTTGTGAGCCCGATCAAAGGTAGGTGGGGGTGGAATGTTAATTGATTAAAAAAGCTGGAGTAGTTTTTTCAAACAGTAAAAAAATAAATATTTCCATATCACTGACTTGCGCTTGAGTAGCGGCAGCCAGTTTCAGGCCCTCAGTTTGTTGGGACGGGCGAGAAGAACATGAAGCGACTAGGAGAGGACTGAAAATCAGAGCCCCTGTTTCGAGGCACAAGTTTCAAGTCCCCGTGTGTAAAAAAATCACCGATTTTTTTTTTTCTCTAACGAAAGGAGATAAAATTTCTTTCTAAATAAGTTACTTTAAAGACCAGTCTCAAATATAGACGTAATTATACCTATTATATGTAATCGCTACAGTACATGCATTTATTCAGAACTTTTGGTCAACAATCACCTATCAAAGTTGCAGTGGAACTTGTTGTTTCCAAGGAAGTAAAAACAATTTTGTGGGGGATATCCGGAGCACGGGGAAGGGGGCAAAGAGGTGCCCACTACCAAATCCTATCCCCAAATCTTACCCCTAAATTTAACCCCAACCCCCTGAACCCTAACTCTTTTTACCCCAGACGACCTTCGTCCTTGAGATGAACTGTCGCCACGCCTTAATTATCTATCCCCCATTACTTTTCTATCTTTCAGGAAAAAAAAATTATGCCCTCGTTATTAAGGAGGCGCTAAGTTTTGTGACGTACTTTCGCATGATACTAAGTTAATATGAGAGCAAGAGGCCCTAAAAAGTTTACTTAGGAAGAACCCACTGCCTGATGAATACCAATTCTTATTACGGATTAGCGGTTCCTGTCTCAAGTATAATTAAGTTTTGACCTCATCCAATAAAAATATTCTGGAGTCTCGTGTCAGTTAAGTGTGCTCGCGTCACTTCGAAGTAAGAAGGGTAAAGAGCGACCTCACTTAACAGCTTAGTCGCCTAGATACCACTGGTTACCCTAGACTTTCTCGACTTTAAAACTAGTTTAAAACAGGAAAATGCAAAAAGAGAATAAAGCCTACTCACAGGCAATTTGCCAATATTGATAAGGACTCGTGAGTCCGTTGTATTCGTATTACGCTTCCCGTTTCCTAGAAGCAACGTTAAGAACATTCCGTGACAAAATAGAACAAAAATTAACACCTGATCGCAGGTAAATTAAGAAGGACTCCACGAGTCTGTTTAACTCTCATTAGGCTATCCCATTCCCCGTTGTTTGCTTTCTCTCCTTTGGTGAAAGGGGTCTCTTTCCAGCCTCATCCATAGTTAATAAATAGCACTCTGGCAGAGGTGACAGGAGACTCCTTTGTAAGTCTGGTCTTTGAAGAGCACTGGAGTCAAACGAACTCGTTTGGTGGATCCTTCGGATTAGGAGAACTCATAGGCAACGTTTTCGCCGGCGACTTTTTTTGTCCTCGTCGCATTCTAGGAATTTCCGGAGAGAGTCGACCCTGATTTGAAGCACCGGAATCTTCCGATGGGACCTGAAGAGTGAGAGAAATGTTCACACTACCAGGCGGAAGTGAATTTGATTTTCCGTTACAATGACTCCAACCGTTTGTCCCAAGGGGTCCCTGATCAAAAGTCCTGGATTCGACCATGGTGTTTGCCGCTGATGAAGGTTCAGCTACGCTTAACGTGGGCTCAGAGACGGCTGCAGACAAGTTATCTTTTCCAGAGTCATCCGAATTAAGATCCAAATCAACATACGATTTAAAACTCTCCATAGATGGCTTTTTCTTGCGGAAACTTTTGATCAGCTTATTACTAACCGTGGGTTTGCGGCGATTGGCGCTCAGGTCTGGGGAAGAAAAGTTCTTCAAAATCTCAGATCCGATAGTGGCAGTGATTTGTTGTTTTCTAAAACCTGATTGCACAGGCATAGAGCATGGACGCGGCCTGGTGTCTTGAACGGGCTGCCGGTATTTTAACAGGCTGTCACGAACATCCGGGGACTTCTTATCAAAACAGCTTGTTAATTCAGTAGTGTACAAATAGGAACCAGTTCTTTCGCGAGTCCGTGTTTCTTGAAGTAATGATAAATTTAAAGTACATCCTCTACCTGTCAAAAATAAAGAAAAACCTATAATAATAAAGACAACTGCTCACAACGAATCAATTTTAACTTGCAGCTGTATCGAATACCAAACAGTTTTCCTTCTATACTTTTTGCCGAACGATAAAGGGTGTTTCTTGGTATTGCAGAAACTATTGTTGGTTCGCTTTTGTTTTTTGTTTTTTTTGTGAATGTATTGTTCTGTGTCAATCTCTTTCTTACCCCCGCCCTTCCCTCTCATTTGGAAGAAAATACGCGAAGAGGAGACTGCTAAACAGCTAAACCACTGACACGAGTTGTACGCGTTCTGCCACTATTGAAGCTATCAGTATAAGATTCTGGGAGACGGTTCACCCACCCCTCCCCTAATCCAACATTAACGTCAACTTCTCACTCAGGACAAAATATTGATTAAAGGGAGGGGTAGATGGGGAGTTTCCCAGAATCTTACACAGATTCGATGCTAGTGACCTTGAGAGTTTACGAACCTTCCAGTAAGTCCTTTTCGTTCTTGGAAAGATCTTCAAGCTCTCGTTCTTTGACCGCTAGCTCAGCCTAGTAGGAAAATATCACACAAACAAAATGAGAAGCCTCAATATCAAAACCTGTCGGATCATTATACGTTGCTGGGGAAACTGCCCACCTACCCCTCCCCTAAGCCAACACTAACACTATAATTTTCACCTAGGGGCAAAATGTTGGCTTAGGGAGAGCGGAAACTGCCCACTATAAAATTCGGCGTCCTGATATCACAGAGGAGAGAAAGATCGATAAATAGAGCTTATTACT